TTGTGGTCCAGGTCCCCAGTTGGTGGCATTGGACAGGCAACCCATTGATGTTTCTCTCACACATCGATGTTTCTCTCCTCCCTTCCCCAATCTCTCTCTCTCTCAAAAAAACAAAAACAAAAACCACTTTAAAAATACAAATACCAAAACAATTGCCTCTGACTTCATTTTTGAACCTGAGGTAAAGAAGGTATAAAGGGAGCAGCCAGATCAGTCAGTCACAAAAATCTAGTTGAGAAACTTCATGAAAGACCACTGAAAGCAGCTCATTCATTCTATTACACAGTCCAAGCTTTATTCCTGGGTACAGATTTCCAGAAGGCTCTATGGTCAAGGCACATTGCTTTTAAAGAATTTTGTCCAATTAAGTTCTGCTTTGGTATCAGCCCCTTAGCTTGCTCCGAAGAAGACAATAGGAAAAAGCCAAAGAATTCACCTTACGTCTTTTATTATACCACTGATACTGAGGACACTGTCTACTTCAAAACCCCTCCAAAGACCTAGAGAAAGAAACCTCTTAAGATCTAAGAGCCATGAGGTGTTTACTTCCCCTGAGGAACTAGTTTGCCTTCTCCACACAGACGCTGCAAATCATGTAACTTTTCATGTCTTGTTACTACAGCTGCCAAGAAAAGTAGACACAAGTTCAAAGCTAAGACAACCCACAGTGACTTACACAGTCACTTACCTATGTTCCAACCTTAAGAACTTTATATGGACCCTATGACCTACATATCTCACACTGCCTAATTTGTTCTGATGTTAAGATTATAACCTAAACTTATTCTTGGACAAATCCTGATTTTTATTAACATACACTGTATCATGTTATCAGACATTAGAAGCTTCCATACATTCACTGGGAAACAAAGGATAAAAAATAGATAAAACAAACCTCACCTGGGCCTTGGTCATTTCCTCAAGTTCTGAAGCAAAGACTGGAAGCTCTAGGATGTGCTTTCTCTGTGTCTCTGGGCCTGCCCAGAAGCTATAGTCAGATATCTCAGGTCAGGAACTGATGATCTCCCAAACCTGGCACCTCTTCCTTCTAGCACTGAAAATGTCTTGTTCCTATAGACCAGAACCTATGGATTCAAAAGCAAATTCAGTTATGAGAAGACATGCACCTGGGACCACAACCCTCTCTTCCTGCATGGACTCATTCTAACATAAGGTTCTGATATTTCATCAGCATCTTTAACATCCTGGACGTTTTTACATCATGGGGCCCATGCTTCTAGGAAAGATACAGAATGCACAAGAGGGATACCCCCTCCCCCTGTTTTTTTGTTTGTTTGTTTTTTGTGTGGTTTTTTTTTGTAAAGGTAGGAAGAGCAAATGTGAAAGAAGAGATGGGAAACAAAACCCAGCTCACGGTCTTGTCCACTGCCAAGTTCTTACATAGATCAATTTTAGGAAAGATAGTGTATAGAAGTGGTAGCTCTGGAAACCTAGGAGTGCCCACATATGCCTAATGTTTTGGTTATTACACTGGGGCAATGGTTACATGTTTAACTATCTAAGCAAGAATCCTTCATTAATAGTGTTGTATACTGCTTATTGCAACATATTAAGAGGCATAAAGACAAAAGAAAAAAATGAAAGAGGAACTATTACAGAATGAGGCCTAAGAGATTAACAAATAAATGCAATGTACACACATTATTTGGATCATGATTCAATGTTAAAAGATTACTTTGAGATGATCAGAAAAAAATTAGTATGGACTGGGTAATAGATGAAACAAAAGGATGGTTATTAATTTTGATATACATTTGAAAGTGACCTGCTAATTATAGATTTTTAAATGACCTTGCCATTTAGAGATACATACTGGAATATTTATAAGTTTAAGGACATGAAACCTTGAATTTGTAATGAAATTTTGTGGAAGAAAAGCTAAAGCAGGGGAGACACAGATGAACATGATTGGTCCTGAGTTGATAATTGTTGAAAGCTAAGTGACATGCACATATTATTATACTATTCTCTCTATCCTCTGAGTTTCCATGGGAAAAAAGTTAAAAATAAGAAGTTAGCAGGGCCTGATGAGTTCTACTTAATCTTGACGGTACACATGATTCCAATCTTATGTCAAAAGAAAAAGAGTTACTGTACTAACTGTATGAAGCCAGCATTTCAAAATACTAATCAATAGATTAGAAGAAAAGGGAACTACCAACATAAATGCTTATTCATTGATTTCATCCTTCCTTCATTTCTAACATGCATTTACAGCTACACATTCCCTCCACTGACGGCTTTAGTTGAATTCAATAAGATTTGACATGTAGGATTATTATTAAAATGCAGTTCAACACACTTCCATTATAGTATTTTGATTCATGATTATTTAGTCATACACAGCATACTTGCCAAACAAATGGGAATTTTCTACTTAATATTTTGATATTTCTTTGTTGCTTAATTTCACTATGGTTAGAGAAGACAGTCTGTGTGATTTCAATCCTTTGAAATTTCTTAAGACTTGCTTTAGAGACCACTATTATAAATGTTCTATATGCATTTGAAAACAATTGTGGGGTACAGTGTTTTATACTGGTCAAGGTTATTAATTATGTCATAATAATCTTTTAGGGCTTGGCTGGTGCCTTGTTTTTGGAAATAATGTTTTATTGAAACACAGCCACACACATTTGTTGATGTATTTTGTGGCTACTTTCCAATTACAATGGCAGAGTTGAGTAGGTGCAGACAGACCATATGACCAGCAGAGCCTAAAATATTTACCCTCTGCCCCTTTACAGAAAAAGTTTGCTGACCCTTGTTAATCTATAGCCTTCAAGTCTTTGGTTTACTTGTTTTGTTACTGAGAGTGGTATGTTAAGAATCTCCCATTATGACTGGACATTTGACATTTCTCCTTGTATGTAGCATGCCCACACTTCAGAAATTCTACTAAGTATATGCCCACAGAACTTCCACACACCTAAATGTATGTACAAAAATATTTGTCTAGCATCATTCATAATAGACACAGGCCAATAACTACCTAAACATCTATAAATAGCAAAATGGATAAATAAATTGGGGTATAATCACAGAATGGAATACTACAAGCAATGAAAAGAAATGAACTGCTGCTACATGTGACAACTTAGGTGAATTTCACCACAAAGTATTGAGCAAAAGAAGCAAAACACAAAAGAGCACTATTGTATGACTCCATTTATATAAAGTTAGCAATCAGGCAGGAAACATCAAGGAATCAAATTAGAAGCTATTAGTAATAACATGAGTAGAATGAGGTGACAAAATAAGTGTATCTTTTTTATCTTTTGCTTTTGTGACTTATGTAACTCACAAAATTATGTAATCATGTAAAAAAATTTTTTGCTTTTTATGAATTATGTAATTTTAGGTAAAATTAGAAGAAACAAAAAGAGGAGGCGAGGACATATGGGGAAAAAACACCATTTACAATTACAACAAATGTCAAAACCATTTACGAATAAATATGTCCAAGACACACCGGGAAAAACAGCAGAGCTGGTCAAAGAAACAAATGACTTGGGTTAAAGGAAATCCGTCACACGTGCCTAAAAGTGTTGTATCTAAATCTGTCACCTCTACCAAAATTAAGGCACCCACCTGATGCAACAAAACTGCAGCAGTTTCAAGAAGAAAACTTCGGAGGAGTTTGTAATGTGAAAATGCTTATAATAGGATGTTAGATTAAACATGTATTGAATACCCACACACCTGATCCCAACACTAAAAATAAAATATAGTAAATTTTAAGTTATTTTTCTGGAAGGATGTTTAAGAGGATGGGGGTGCCATTACTTGGGTTGGAATAGAACCCCAAAACAAATATTCTAAGGACTATACAGTAGACAGGGACACAGGAGGTCCCGAGACGTGGTGTCTCACGCGTTAAGTGTGCGATTAGCAATAAACACGGAATTCCCCGGACTCCGTCCCCAGCACCAAATACCTCAAACGCGACTCTCCAACAAAGACAGGCCAAGTGATCGTTCCTGCACGAAACCCCACGAGCGCCCCCGCGCGGAGAACACCGCCGCACTGCAGCGGGCTCCCAACAGATCCAACGCGCAACCCCCGCCCCCGGCGAGGGCCCCCACTCGCTGCCCCAACACCAATCACTGCGCGTTCAGGAACCGCACCACCAACAAAATGCCCAGGAGTCGGAAACCCGACACTGACTTCCCACTTGCCGCTGCAGACAAATCACGAAACCTTTTCTCCACTTTTGCTCAGTTGTCCGCAACAACACCTCCGCGGCTTCGCGGACCCTTAGAAGCCGACGAGGGTCAGTGCGCGCCGTTCCAGAGTCTAGCGTCTGGTTAGTCTGGCTCCGGGTCATTGCTCTCTGATGTAAAATTTGACGTGCCCAATTGGCGGCTATTTTTAGCCAGAGCAGCTGTTGACCTGCCTACTGCTTTAGTTCAGGCATAATATCCTTTTTTCTGATTTGTCCGGGAAGGCTAGAAACAGTGAGAAACTGCTAAAAATGACCCGCATCACCCCATTTCCAAGCCACTTGAGCCACTGAGCCCCGACTGTGCAACCTTAGCCAGGGGCGCTCCACAGACTGCTTAGCTGCTCAGCAGCTCCAGCCAGCCCGGGTCTCCCCTCTGGATGGGCGGAGATGGTCTCGACGGCCGTTTAAGGCCTTGGAGCCTCAGGCTGAAGAAAGCTAAGGGGAAGTGCTCATCTTAGATTAAGTTCCACGGAAGGGAACCGAACAGAACTCGAACAACCAGAGGGGAACCGGCTGTTGTCCTGAGAATTCTGGTGGCAGGGCGCTTTGTGGAGAGAAAGTGGTATTTGAGGCCAGTCTACGATTTAGAGAACCGCTGAATGTATAGCGTTGATCGGAGAGCAAGGAATATAAAATTCTTGATACACTTGGGGTGGAGGAGAACGGGGAACACGGTTGTTCAGGGGCAGTGCCAATGGAGAAGCTTGGCTGTCCCTTGGGGTCGGGGGCGGCGAAGCAAAAGCTCCAAGAGTGCGCCTTTCCTGCAACGCATATGATAAAATTGGACCCACGCAGAGATTGGCATGGCCCCTGCGCAAGGATGACGCGTAAATTTCTTGGAGTGTTCCATATTTCTGTGGCAGAAATTTGGAAGTACAGATTGTCAATTATAAAAACAGTCACTGGGATGTAAAGTACAGCATAGGGTAATATCGTCGAAAATATTGCAACACATGCCTATGGTGTCAGATCAGTAGTAGACTTACAGGAGTGATCATTTTGCAAGGTATATAAACAAATAATCACTGTTGTATACCTGGAACTAATATAATATTGTATATCAACTGTAATTGTGAAATAAATTTTTTAAAAACTGAAACCTGAGAAAGGAAAGGGGTTTTGTTCAATATCGTGGCCCAGCTGATTAGCAACCAGTTTCACATCATAGTGAAACAGGAAGGAATCATACATGACATATGGCCAATGGGCTTGCCAAGAAAGAGGTAGTTTAACTCATCTTTACTCTCACAAGATCAAGTAGATATTTTAACTATATTAAATGTTAAAGTTTAGGTTTAAAATTGAAATTTAACCTGGAGGCAGCAGACCTTACCAACTCTTGGTTGTTACCTAATAGGTACATCCCTGTAAATAGGCCTTGAGGGTGAATGTTAGAGACTGAGGATGAGCAAACATGAGGGAAGATGAGTCAGATATCTTCCACCTTTATAATGAAAAGATTCTTCTTCTACGGAGACCCCTTTTAGTATTTTGAACATATCCAGGTAAAGTTAGGAAGTACCTACCTGACTGTAGGTATAGTAACTTTCTTGTTGGAAAGTGACCATTTATTTAATTAGAAAATGATAAGGAGACAGAAACCCTCTTAGGAGGAGTAGGAGCACAAAGAGACCTGAGGATGAGAGTAGTTAACATCAATAAACAATTAGAATAAACTAGAACGTAAGTTTCTGAAGAGCAGAGAGATTTTTTTCATCTTGTTCACTGCCGATCCGTAGTACCTTAACATTCAGGAGCTTAATACCTGTCCATGGAATTAATGGATGATACTAATAAAGATTGCTTACAACATTAAAAAAAAAAATCTTTGTCTTACGAAATAGAGCAAAACAAACAAAAGTGCCTTAGTCAACTTCCCAGACTTTACACAGGACAATGGACAGCTCCCAGTCAATCCTCAGCAAGTCCTTTGGAAAATACGTACTTGTTTTGCTAACTAACCAATATGACATCTTGTACTTGAGTTATCATCATCTTCCATCACACCCCCAAGGTTCTCAAACCCTTTCCATGTAGAAGACTTGTTGAAACATAAGTTTGAAATAGAAAGGCTGTTTAGTGTCCCTGGAATTAATGTGAGTGCTTCGTATTTTCTCATATTATACTGTACTGTTTAGTATGCATACAAGCTTGCCTACATTGATTATTGAAAATATGGTTGTGGATGATTGGAACCTCTATAGGTTTTGGCTATGTGGCTAGGGAGTATAAAAGATCTTTCAGTAAACTTATGCCTTGGTTCCCATGAGATGAAGAGACTTCACATATATTTTGGTGGCTTGTGATTTGGAAATGAATAGTGTTCAGTGTTACTGAAAAAGTCACTGGAATCTGTGCCTATAAGTTGCAGAACAGCTTGATATTTACCTGTAACATTTTTTCTTCATGCTATATTGTAGTTTTTATCTTTATTGGAGTTTTAGCTTAATATAACTTGCAGTCTTGTGAGTCCACTCGCCTTAAACAGGGTAACTGCCATAGTTGCAGTTTCCCCATTTTAACGCAAAATATTGTGCTTGAAAAGGAAACCTACTTTTGTAAAAGTAAAATTAAACTCGTATGTACCCTTGCTGGGTAGCTCAGTTGGTTAGAGTGTCATCCTAATATGCCAAGGTTGTGGTTTTGATGTCCAGTCAGGGCACATACAAGAATCAGCCAATGAATCTATAAGTAAGCGGAACATCAAATCAATGTTTCTCTCTCTCTTCTTTCCTTTCCCTCTAAAAGTCAATCAATGAGTAAAAATTTTAGCTCACTTAAAAAAAAAAGAAAGCTAATTGTACTTTACAGTTTAATCTTCATTGAAGTAAATAATTTATGAAACTTCCCTGCTATGTTCTAGAGAGGGATTCACAAAACCATCTCTAAAGTTTGGTTGATGCTCTTTCAAAGGGAAGCATGACATGTGCAGTATGGAAAAAGCCGAAGTCTACTTCATTTGTTCAGAAAAGCCACAATAAATACCAGGACTAAAGCTAACATTTCGTTTCCATCTTCTGATATTGGGGACTTTCACTCAAACTGTTTAGAATTCAAATCGGAATTAGAGAACCTGAGAATAGTCATTATATTCAAACCATAAATATCTGGTTGGTTTAAAAGAAACAAATCATTTATTAAAAAAGATAACTTTACTGTATTTCATCCAAGCTAAGATATCTTTGGTTGTATGATATACCACTATTTTATGTGCCAAGTTCTCTATTTAAATATGTCAAGCCATCAATTGTATATGATGCATTTCAACTTCAACAGTGTTGATGATGTGGAGAAACATTTCCAACTAAGAATCAATGAAAAAAAAGTAACTCAAGAGAGGCTCAAAATCTGCCAGGCCCACGTTATACTACCAGTAAATAGCAGGGTGGGGAGAGGAATATTTAGTATTTTATTAAGATTCCTTATTAGCACTGACCAGTGTGGCTCAGTTGGTTGGATGTCACATCACAAGGTGAAATCTTGCCATTTCGATTCTTGGTCAGGACACATGCCTCAGTTGTGGGTTTTGTTTTCAGTCAGGGCATATAAAAAAGGCAAATGATCGACGTTTCTCTCACATAGATGTCTCTCACCTTCTCCTTCTCCCTTCCTTCTCCTCTAAATATAAAAAAAAATTCTTAACAAAAGAGATTTCTTATTGAATAATGAGCCCTGTAGTTCAATTACAATTTATGAATCATTAAAATGATACAAGTCAATGCAGATACTCTATAGGAAACTTTATGTACATTTAAGTACATGTACTGGGGAGTCACCATTGTTATGTTAACACATGCAATTCAAAAATGTGAACAATCATTTTTATAATAAAAATGGGTACAAAACATATTCTCATTTAGTTCTGGTGTAATTTTTGCTCTGTTTCCTGACAAGTGTATTTATTTCATATTTAATACTTTCTGTAATACTGGTTATTGTGTTCCTCATAAAATAGCATGTACACACCGTGTACAGATGTTTATGTGGACATATATTGTCATTTCTCTTGGATATAAACCTAGGGGTGAAATTGCAGGGTCACATGGCAAATGTGTTTAGCTATTTGAGGAACTGCCAGAGTGTTTTCCAAAGTGGCTGAAAAAAGGAGTACCTATGAAAGGGAAACTGTTTTTCTATTCCACAATATTTCTGACACCAAATGCATGGGTGTTTATACGCCAAGCACTTCTTTAGCTACTTGTGTTTACCAAGTGGGTGTCCTACAATTCAATTAAATTCTGATACTATTTCCCTGGAGTCAAGGGCAGACCCCACAGGTTAAGTATCCAATCCCACAGTACTTTCTACCTACCCCCTCACCCGCCCCTCTTCAGATAGCAATTGCAAAATGGGGCCTCTTGTATTTTTGTTGCACTGGCTATAAATCAAAGACTTCAATAATCACCTCCTCACACTTGATAATTTTGTAAAATGGCTCACAAAACGCGGAAAACCTGTTTACTTACATTACCACAACTTAAAAAAATCAGATTTAGTGTTTACATTATCATAGCTATGTAAATATTAGAGCTCAGCCATATATTATATTGTGATTACTTTTTTTAAAAAGATCATGTCTCTATTTAAAAAAAAAATTCACTTATGTTTAGAAAGAGGGAAAGAGGAAGAGAGGGAGAGAAATAGCAGTGTGTATTTGCTTCTCGCGTGCCCCCTACCGGGGACCTGGCCCCCAACCCATAAATGGGGTCCTGACCGGGAATCCAACCTCCGACCCTTTAGTTCGCAGCCCTTGCTCAATCCAGTGATCTGCACCAGCCAAAGCTACCTTTCCTTTCTTGCTCAACTTTTTATTCACTCTGTTGTTACCTTACTTAAGCCTTCTAAAAATTCTGGCCTTTGATTTTCAAAGCCCCACCCTAGATACTGGCGTTCCGCCTGGCAGGAAGAACTTGCCTCTAATCACGAGTGAAAAAACAAATAAAACCCTCCCTTCCTAGTCACCGCAGTCCTTCTTCCCATTGGCTGGAAACCATGTCCCATCCCAAAGACAGGTTAGGTTCCTTCGCCATTCCCACTGGGTCGTTTCGACTTCTCTTCGTGGTTTTATTGCTTATTCCCAATGAGTACTTCTGAAGACCTTTTTTGTCCCCCAGATCTTCTTCCTGCCAGAAATGTTTTCGGGGAATTTGCCTTTTGGCCTGTACATTTGCTCTTTTTCCTCCGCTGAAAAAATCGTTATATTTTGTACGGACACCTAACTTCTAAGATGGCTGCACCCACTGTGTCACTTCCAAATCTTTATACAAAGCAGATGGCTTTTTCACCCCAGCTCGCTGAGGTGGACGTAGCCTACCCCATTTTTGTCTTGTGCAGGTTCGAGCTCCTGAAAGTTAATGCAGTTTTCAGGGTTTTAAGGTGGCGAGAAATGAGATCGTCCGGTGGCTTTTCGTCGTTCCAACCTTTGGCCCGGCTACTGAGACTAAACCGGCTTTCATGACTACTGTACGTCAAGTGTTGAAAGATGGCCGTTTCCAGGACTCGTGGCGAAGTGGGTGCGGACATATTTCCTCCCTGGAAACCGGAAATCCAGGTGTCTGTGACCCCGCACAAATCCCTCCTAACCTCGTCGGCCACCGTAGACCGGCGCCAAAACTGAGCAAGTGCGCACTGAAAAAGAATTCACGGAAGTGCCGCTTGTAGAAGGTCCTGGTAGGATCACAAGAAAGCCGCGCCTGTGTGTGTGGGGCTCTCCGAGGAACAGAGTGAGAGCATCGAGGTGTCTTTGGGTATCTCGGTGGGGGAGCTGTGCTGTCCGTAGTGGGAAAGGCAGCAAGCGGAAGTCGGTGTCTGGGGTGTCTGTGGTTGGGGCGTCTCTGGGGTTTTGTTATAGCCATTCGAGGGGGTATGAAACAGTATGCTAGTGGTGGTTTTGATTTGCATTTCTGAGAAGGCTAACAACATTTAACTAAGTATGTTATAGAAAACAACTCAGCTGTTTTCGGGTGTATGGAGTGGAACTTTATTTTATGCGCGCGGATCCAGAGGAGTCAGTCTCCAAATTCTGGGCTCCATCAGTGGGTAATAATTGTTTATATAGGGTGAGGGGCGGTTTGTCACTCAGACCCTTACTTCTAGCACGAAAGCAAGAAAGCAGAACTGCTGATAGGAGTTAATACGAATTTCTTCGTTCTTACTCCTCATTTACTTAGTTACTTGCCCTCCCTAATCTTGTTGACTCAGCTGCCAGCCCCCCTCCTGGGCAGGCCATTAATCATTACCTTATTGATTCACCGACTAGCTCCCCTCCTGGGCAGGACACTACAAGTATAGATTGTGAGCATTTTAAGAAAGTATTTATTTATTTATTTTTAGTGAGAAGGGAAGGGAGGAAGAGAGGGAGAGAAACGTCAAAGTGAGAGAGAATCATTGATGGGTTGCCTCTTGCACATACCCTGTTAGAGGACCGAACCTGCAACCCAGGCATATGCTCTGCCCAGGAATCGAACTAGTGACCTTTCACTTTTCAGGACAACACCCAACCAGCCGAGCTACATGCAACCAACTGAGCTGCAATCTAACATTAAATTGTTAGAATGCTGACAATCTGCAGGTCAGGGCAGATCGTTTGCATTTTTTTTAATTGATTATGCCATTACAGTTGTTCTGTTCCCCCCCCCTTCATTCCCATCCCCCCTGCACCCCCCGCCCCCACTATTCCCCCCTTTTAGTTTATGACTATGTGTCTCAAGTTCTTTATATTCTATATTTCCCATACTATTCTTGCCCCCGTATCTATTTTCTACCTACCGTCTATGCTATTCTCTGTATCTTCCCCCTACTCCTCCTCCCACTCCCCTGTTGCTAACCCTCCATGAGATGTTCATTTCTATGTTTTCGCTCCTGATCTAGCTGTGTCCTTTTAGTTTGCTTTTGTTTTAGGTGTGGTTCTTAATAACTGTGAGTTTGCTGTCCTTTCACTGTTCATCTTTTTTATCTTCTTTTTCTTAGGTAAGTTCCTTTAACATTTCATATAATAAGGGCTTGGTGATGATGAACTTCTTGAATTTGATCTTATCTGAGACACTTTATCTGTCCTTCCATTCTAAATGAAAGCTTTGCTGGATAGAGTAATCTTGGTTGTAGGTCTTTGGATTTCATGACTTGGAATACCTTCTTCCAGCCCCTTCTTGCCTGTAAGGTGTCTTGAAAAATCAGCTGACAGTCTGATGGGAACTCCTTTGTAGGTGACTGTCCCCTTATCTCTTGCTGCTTCTAGGATTCTCTCCTTCATTTTAATCTTGGCTAGTATAATTATGATCTGCCTTGGTGTGTTCCTTCTGGGTCCAACTTGTTTGGGATTCTCTGAGCTTCCTGGATTTCCTGGAAGTCTATTTCCTTTGCCAGATTGGGGAAATTCTCCTTTATTATTTGTTCAAATAAGTTTTCCACTGGTGGCTGTTCCTCTTCCCCTTCTGGTACCCCTATAATTTAGATGTTGGAACGTTTAAAGATGTCCTGAAGGTTGCTAAGCCTCTTCTCATTTTTTTGAATTCTTGTTTCTTTATATTTTTCTGTTTGGCCATTTTTTCTTCCCTCTGGTTCACTCCCTTGATTTGAGTTCCAGTTTCCTTTTCATCACTGTTGGTTTCCTGTGCATTTCCCTTCATTTCAATTAGTTTAGCCTTCATATGTTCCTCTAATTTGTGACTAAAATCAACCAGTTCTGTGAGCATCCTGATCACCAGTGTTTTGAACTGTGCATCTGAAAGTTTTGCTATTTCTTCGTCGCTTAGAGTTATGGGCTCTGGGGCTTTGAGATCTTCTTGAGCCATTTTTGGTCTGTTCAGGTCTGTTAAGTATCAGGAGCGGAGCCTTAGGTGTTCATCAGGGCAGGGTGACCCAGTTGCTGGGTCACCCTGCTGTATGTGGGGGCGGGGTCAGAGCGGGGAAATGGCGACCCCTTCTGCTGCCTCTCGCTTCTGGGGCCTGCTCTGTCCTGTCTCACCGCCCACTCCCTCACTGTTTTATCTGCACACGAATGTGAGACCACAGTCAACCTGCCATCCTGTGCCCTCACTGGGTCCGCTGGTCGCTCACTGGGTTGCTCACTGGGTCTGCCTGTTGCAACCCCACGCCTGGGATCCGTGCGCCTGAGTCTCTCTGACCGAGTTTTCCTGTGCAACCCCGCTCCTCCAGCTGCTGGCTTCACCCCTCTTATGGGTCAGGCTGAAGAATTTGTTGTTAGACTTCCGAAAAGTTCAATTTTCTGTGTTCTGGCTGTGTTTTCTGTTGCTAATATTTTGTTGTCTCTAAACTTGGTTGTGTGAGAAAGCATGGCATCTCCATCTATGCCTCCATCTTGGTGGAAGTCCCAGCATTTTTAGTAACTGCACAGTATTTCATTAGGTGTGTGTACTTTTATTCATTCAATTTAACCTCTACTAATAGATCTGATTAATACATTTACTTCGCTTTGCTAGTATTGGTTACTATTTCTTTTCCAAAAATTTCTAGAAGTGTATTTTTGTATTCTACTAATATCTCTATTGAAAGTATTCAGTAAAGTGTAACTATTCCCCCAAAGTATTTGGTCATGTAACACTGCAATAAGAAGTGTGTGTTTTGAAATGTTACCAATTTTTGTATATAAATTTTGTAATCAGCCATCTAACTAAAAACTTACTTTTGACATAAGTACACTCAAATCTCTGAAACTGTGACTTTTAGTCATGTTACAGAACTTCTTATAATTTGCTTTCTCTTCTCCATTGTTGATTATTCTTACTCAGTTCTTTATGAAATTAGTGGGGTTACATTTCTAAAATAGTAATAGATAAGAGTTGTGATACTCATCATCCGTGCCTTGCTGTTGGCTTTAGAGAAAGTACTTATATTGTTTCACTGGACATAGATAGGATGTATTTGATTTTTTTTTTTATTGAGGTGAAATCCACACAACATAAAATTAAACATTTTAGAGTCAGCAATTCATTGGCTTTTAGTACGTTCACAATGTTGTGCAACCACAACTTCTGTCTAGTCCCAGAACATTTTTATCACTTTTATCACCCCAGAGGGAAACCCTGTGCCCATTAAGCAGTCACTCTACATTCTCATATCCCCAGACCTTGGCAACCCCCATGCTGCTTTCTGGCTCTATTGGATGTACCTGTCCTAGGCATTTCATATTAGTGGAGTCATACAGGATGCAATCTTCTGTGCCTGCCTTCTTTCACTTAGTAAAGTGTGCTTATGGTTGTGGATTGGGCCCTGAGGTGTTCCTTCGGTGCTTAGCCAGGCTGTTGACAACTCTGCCTTAGCCTTTATGTCCCGCTTGCATGGAGTGTGGAGGTCAGCCAGAGGAAAGCCCAGGGTCTTCCTAGATCTCTGCTGAGCAGGCATCCTGTCTTGTGCGCGTACATGCCTTTATAAATTCCCCAGGTTATACTGGTGCTTTTGAATGAAAAGAAACTCCCTTTCCAGCTTTCCTTTCAATTTTTCAGCTGTGTCTCAACTGTAATCTTTTCTCTAGGCAGCTGCAAGTTGTTCATCCTCTGTACAGTTTTAAGACATTCCTGCTGCTTTTCCTTGCTGAGCTCCAAATTAGGCGGAACAGAGAGGAGCACGCTGAGCCAGCCCTTTAGGTCGACCCCAGATAGGTTCCAACACACAAACTTAATTCTTTTCCAATAAGGTTTGCTCTGTTCCTTCCAGATCAGAAACCAGGGTCCCACACTGCGCATGCTGGCTGCCATCTCAACCCCCTGAGACTAGGAAGCGGGTGAAGCAAGGGCACACAAAAATGGCACTAAGCTTTGCTACCATTTTTAAGTTGCCTTTTTATTGATTCAGTATTCACAGTGGCTATAAAACTTTGAGTGTTTTTCTGAGTTCTGACAGGTTTCATTTTGTTTTTGATGCTGACGTTTCTGACCTGATGTTTTGATGTTGCTATGGCAGGATGGGCCGTTGGAGCTGCCTCCTCTGCCATTTCCATTCAATGGGATTTTTCATCATAAAGTCCCCTGTCTTGAATTCGTTTTGTCTTTTTAAAAAGATTTTATTTATTTATTTTTTTAGACAGGTGAAAGGAGGGAGAAAGAGAAGGAGACAAACATCAATATGTGGTTACCTCTTATGTGTCCCCTACTAGGGCTCTGGCCTGCAATCCAGGCATGTATCCTAACTGGGAATCAAACCAGTGACTCTATGGTTTGCAGGCTGGTGCTTAATCCACTGAGCCACACCAGCCGGGGCTCTTGAACTTGTTTTTGTTTTTTTTAGATTTATTTTAATGTTTTTTTTGTTTGTTTTGTTTTTTTAGATTTTATTTACTTATCTTTAGAAGGCAAGGGAAGGAGAGAGGGAGAGAAATATCAACGTGTGGTTGCCTCTCATGTGTCCCCTGCTGGGAACTGGCCTGCAGCCCAGGAATGTGCCCTGACTGGGAATCGAACTTCGATACTCTGGTTCACAGGCCTGCACTCAATCCACTGAGCTACACCAGCCAGGGCTTGAACTTGTTTTAAACATGCAAGTTTTTGTACTGTTTCAAAGTGTGTATATATACTCACCAATAATAGTTTTGCTTTAGTTTTTTTCTATTTGTTTTCCTTTGGCTCACATAATGATTAATGATGCGGACTCTGGCCTGTTGGAGTCTGTGTGTTGTGGATGAGGTCAGCACATTCACACAGACTACCGAGTACTGTGGAGAAAAAAGGACGGCACAGCCACTCTCTCAAGGGGAGAGCGCCTCAGAGTGCCTCAGCCACTCTCTCAAGAGGACAGTGCCTTGACTCTTGCCTGGACAGGCTTTTATTGCTTTTCAGTTACATTACATCAAAGAAGGTTCTCATTCATTATCCTTAGATTTACATTAAGTGATTACTTCTTATAGATAACCAAAAAAGAAAGAAAAGTTGCAAATGCGAGGGAGTGATAAAAATGATTGATTTGGTTACATTTTGTCCTTGGGCTGTCTTAGCACAGACTTAGGGAGTTGCTTCAGAGATATACATTAAACATCTGCAGTTTTAACTCAGAGTGAGGGAGTTTTAGCAAAAGCAAGTCTCATAGCAGCCTAGGTACAATGCAGGCCAGATTCCCCATGGGGAAGCCAATCTGCACACCTGGCTCCTGTGTGCCACCTCACACTGATCAGTTTTCCAGATCAGTACTGGGCTAATTTGCCACTGCCATGCTCATTGGTTCCCTATAGATTAGTGAAAATGGTCTTTTAGGTAATGTTTGGCTTAGTACTTTTGTCTTCACACTGAGGTATGGTTACACATGAGTTGTACAGAGGCTTCTGAACAGGTAAATGAACCCAGTTTTAAAGAAACGGATGTCCACATCCTTGCCTTTTGTATGTCTCTGTCCAAAAATTGATCTGTGTGAGAAGTTCCTGCTGCAAGTGCATTGCATTGTGCAGTTCTTCTTTCTCATCTCCCCTTTCACAGTCACCCCACTTTGACTTCACAGAGGAAAGACATACCGCCCACATCTTCAGCGTCTTACTTAGACTTTATTGCTCCAGAGTATATTAGCCTCTGGAGCTTCAGATAAAGGAACAGATGACCTTGAAATCAGGTGAGTGACAGTAGCAGTGATAACATCTGGGCCCAGAGGAAATGTACACTCAGAGTGAATCTATTTTCAACCCTGGCTGGGTAGCTCAGTTGGTTAGTGCCCCATACACTATGGTTCGATCCCCAGGCAGGACACATACCAGACTCAGCCAGTGAATGCATCAGTAAGTGGAACAACAAGTCAATGTTTCTCTCTCTCTCTCTCTTCCCCCTTCCTTTCTCTCTCTAAAATCAGTAAATAAAGTGAATTTACTTTTTAGCACACAGGTCCTGACTTGAGAAACAAGATCTATCACATGACCTGAGGAGAGAGAAGTTTCAGGAACTGGATTTCGTCATTTGTGGGGACACCACTGACCAGAGACTAAGATTTCTAACCGGAAATTTCTGTTCAAGAAGAGACTAACGGCACAACATCCTTGTTGCTGGCCATTTCCAAGTAACAGAAGAAAATGGTTAAGGACCAGGTGACTTGTGGTTTGTTTTAGTCCTTCCTTCATTCTGTGATTGTTTTGTGGAGGATGTGAAAACACAATTGAATTAAATGGCAGGGTATAAATTAGTAAAGTAGAAATAAAGCTAGCCTCTAACTTCAACATCAAGGTAAGTAGGATCAGGAATATATTGTTCCTGAGATTCACACTAAATGACTAATGTTGGGACATCATGCGACGAGAGCATCCTGTAGGTTACATTAATGTCACCTTTTGTCAGATATCTCTGACAGTCCTAAGGAGACAATCATGATGAAGACAGGCTGTGCCCTGGGGTGGAGAAGAAAGCAGACCAGGTCCAAAGAAGACGTCATTACCGTATATTTTAGACACTTAGGTCTTACGACATTTTTTTATGGTTCTTCTTGGAGCTGATATGATAGGCAGTGTCTCCTTAACCTCAGCTTTCTCATAAATGCAAAAGCAGACCTCCTTTGAGAGCACAAGAAATCAGTGGGCACAGTTTGTGGGACCGTAACAGGGCAACCCATGGACCCAGCCTTGCAGCGGTCAGGGTTAATCTAGGAATAAAACCAAGATGACCTAAGAAAATAGAGGGACTGTATGACAGTCAAAGGACCTGTGTGACCACATAGTTGAAGTGGTATTTGAGTTCAAGTTTGGCAGTAGGCAGAGGAAAGTACTATTATCTGCTAAGGTTGTTAGGGTCCCAGAGGGTTTCCTTTACTACACCCTCGTCTCTAAGATTGTATGCTCTTCCCTGTGGTCAAAGCCACTTCCTACTGCCTCATCTTTTATTATCTTTAAAAAATTTCATCATACAACTGTACATGGATACATTTGTAAAACTTTAGTGATTACAAAGTACAGACAGTGAAGAAGATTTTTCTTATGCTTCTTCCCTCATATCCTAATGCAGCTTTGTAAGTGGGCACTAATGTGTATGCTTGTCACTATACCTGTATGTACATCTATGTCCATATGCACAGATGCATCTGTCTCAGCCCTTAGATCCTTGGATAGTGCCTTCCCATTAACGTATTTACTCTTTCATAAACTGGATTGGTAAATATGGGACCTCACTTTGGCCTCTGTATTTATTATTCTGTCTTTTATGTATTTCACTACTCTACCCTTTTACTGCATTTTGAATAATTTCTTTCTGATAGCTACCTTCCAGTTCATTATCTCTTCAGTGTATTTGATGTACTATGAACCCGCCTGGTAATGTGAATGTAAATAATATATACATATGTGTACAGTCATGTGCCACTTAACCATGGCTATACATTCTGGGAAATGCATTGTCAAGCAACTTCATTGTATAAACATCATAAAGACATTTAGACACACCAAGGTCTGCATTGTATACCACCATTGTATATGTGGTCTGTCGTTGACCAAAACGTTACGTGGTGCATGACTATATTTGTCTTTTATGAAGGCTGCTATTTCTTTTCTTAGTCTGCTTAATGAACTTTAAATAGTCTTTTGTTCTTTGGACATGTTCTAGAAAGCTGCTTTATTCCTCCTAGTATATAAAATATACTTATTTAATGTATAGTGTCCTGTAATGATAGTGTCTGAATTTTCTTGTGGTTGATTCTGATAATGGCTGTCAAGATGGACAGTGAATATAGAAATGGGATGTGTTTTATTCACCCTGATAGTACTAGTATATGTTTAATGTCTGGCAAATACATACCTTTTAAAAATATGTGTATATATGTAGTAAATGCCATATATGTGTATGTGTATGTATATATGGCACATGTTTCAAACATGTATATTGTAAATATTCATAGTTTAGCAAAATAATTTAATGACAACTTAATACATAAATACCTGATTTGTAGAATGATGGTTGAACAATTACAGAATATTTACTAGAGATTGCTTTTGAATATGGATAGATTTTACTTCTATAACATTGTAGATTTAAAAAATCAAAACACTGAAGTACAATATATAGATACAGCCTATACGGTAAAAATGAGCAGAGCAACTTTCTTCATATTTCTTCTATTTCAATAACTAGAGAAACAATCCTATTAAACAGGACCGTGTTATTACAGGAATCCCTGACATTTCATGATGTGGCTGTGAACTTCACTTGGGAGGAGTGGCAGCTCTTGGACCCCGACCAGAAGGACCTGTACAGGGATGTGATGTTGGAGAACTACAGGAACCTGGTGTCAGTGGGTGAGGACAGCTCCCAGTGTCAGCCAGTGCCCTGTTAGTGGCCTTTCTGAGCTCTGAAAGGCCTGGAGTATCTGTGATGCTCTGAAGTGGTAGTTAAGTCTCAGTCTCCTCTCTGGTCCTAGGTTAGAGGGTATATTGTGCCCTTCTTCAAAGAATAGCCTTTGCTGACCTACAGAAACCTTCCTAAAATATAAGCTTGTTTGTTGGCAGACCAAAGCCCAAATCAAAGAGCTTATCTCTTCTGTCACTTTCCATGAACAGGGTATCCAGCCAGCAAGCCAGACACACTGTCCAGATTGGAGCGAAGGGAACCACGGACAATAGAAGATGAATTCCACAGTGGCATCTGTTCAGGTAAGTGAGAGAGAACCAGCAAGGCGGGTGGCTGGGGAAGTCCTATTCTAGTCATTCAGAGGTATCACAGCTGTGAGGGTGTCTGAGGATATGTAAACAGAACCTCCATGGGTCTCCCATAAAAGAGCTCTTTTTCTTCTACATGTTTATAAGAATGTATCTCTTCTTAGATTTGGTCCCTATTTATTTCATCAAGGTTTTGATTTTTTTCGTTAGGTTTCTTCTTATAGTTCTCAATCTTACCATCTTTCTTCCCTTACCTTTGTATCAGTACCTCTTCCTTCTACTTTTCTCTTTATTTTTTCCTTAATTTTATTTATTTATTTTTAACGACTTCCCCTCCGGGGAAGGGACAGAGAAAGACAGGGAGAGAAACACCACTTAGTTGCCTTTTGCACACCCCCAGCTGGGGACCTGGCCCACAACCCAGGTATGTGCCCTGACTGGGCTGGTGAATTTTCAGTCCACAGGCCAGCGCTCAATCCACTGAGCCACACAAGCCAGGGCCTTTGTACTTTTCTTAGTCTAAAATAACACCTTCCATGCCTCTATCCAAGGAGAGATGTGTGATGTTAGCACTATCTTCTGACTACAGCACTTTCTTGCCCCTTTGGATAAGGTTGTTTCCCCTTCCTGACACTCACCCCATCTTTGATTAGGGGTTAGGATTTTAATGTGTAACTGGGGGTGACATAAACATTCAGCCTATAGTACCTGCTATTAGTTATATATATCCTGGTGGTGTTGGGAAAAGCTCAGTCCTCCTCTTGTGTTTCTCCTTTACTGTCACATACAACTGCACTCATAATACTTTTCCCTAAAACAAGCAATTCTCTGGAATCCACCAGGGGGTGTTCTATAGTTGAACTCAATTCTTTTTTTTTTTTTTTTTTTTTTATGTTTTTTTAAGAAGGAAAGAGAGGGAGAGAAACATCAATGCATGGTTGCCTGTCACATACTCCCTACTGGGGACCCAGCCCGAATCAAACCAGCAACCCTTTGGTTTGCAGGCCAGCACTCAATCCACTGAGCAACACCAGCCAGAGCCAATTTAACTTAATTCTGACACTATTCCACTTGTAGATAGCATCAGAGTCTACAGATTAAGGGCTCAATTCTGCAGGATTGTCCCCACCTTCACTTCAAATGCTAATTACGAGTCTGGGTTGTCACCTGTGTTTCTGAACACTATCTATAGATCGGAGGTTCTAGTGACCTCCTCCTTGGGTTCCATCAATCTGCTACAGTGGCTCACAGAAATCAGGGAAACATTTTACTTCCTAGATCACCAGTTTATTATAAAAGGATATGACTCAGGAACAGACAGATGGGAGAGATGCAGAGAGCAGGATATGTGGGAAGGGGTGTGGAGCTTCCATGGCGTCTCCAGGAACCACTGTTCCAGTACCTGTCTTGTTCACCAACCTGGAAGCTCTCTAAACCCCATATCTTTGGGATTTTATGGAGGCTTCCTCACTCAGGCAAGATCCATCATGAACTTCCTTTCCAGCTCCAGCCCCTCTGCAGAGAATGGGAGGTGGGGCTGAAAGTTCTAACTTTTAATTGTGGTTTAGTCTTTCTGGTGACCAGCCATCATCCAGGACACCACCCAGAGTCAACTAATTAGAATGAAGGACACTGTTATTACCTGGGAAATTCTAAGGGATTTAAGAACTCTGTCAGGAACCAGGGTCAAAGACCAAATATTAGAACAAAAGATGCTGTTTTATCACTTAGAGGATTTTAGGAGGTCTGTACCAGGAAGGTGTGTTTCTTCATAGATACTTTCTTATCTCCTCAGCTCCCTTATTCAAAGTCTTTGCCATTCCTGTCCATTTCTTAAAATTTCTCATTGTCTTCTTCCAACCTAAACCACATCACTAACCCTCATGGATGCATTGCTTTAATTTCCTTGTATAATTGTTAACTCTGACCATCCTTTTAGTTTATCTTAAATAGTGTTGCTAGATTCATTTTCTTTCTATTGAAAAAGATTTACTGAATGATTCCATTTGTTAAAGTAGCTCATAACAGAGAAAGACAAAATGTGGCCTCCTAGGAAGAGAAAGTGCAAGACAACAAGCCACAACAAAAATGGTTCATTTGATTTTTTAAAAATGTGGTCATAGTTAAGCCCTTGGACCCCGCCGCCCGCAGACAAACCCCCCACCCCCCCCCCAATAATAGCATTTTTTCCTCTACTTTCTACCTTCCAGGCGCTGGTCTTGACTTTGCTATGTGTAGGTTTCATGAACCAGCATTTTTTCTTGCATTAACCTCTTTTCTTTTATAAAATTTATTATTGTTCAAGTACCATTTTCTGTCTTTTACTCCCATCCCAGCCTACCACCCACAGCGCTCCCCACCTCCCTCCCATTCCTTACCCCCCCCACCTTAGTTTTTGTCCATGTGTCCTTTATTCTTGTTCCTGTGAATCCTTCCCCTTTTTTCCCCTGAAATTCTCTCCCCTCTCCCTGTGGTCACTGTCAGCCTGTTCTCTGTTTCAGTGTCTTTGGTTATATTTTGCTTGCTTGTTTGTTTTGGTGTTTAGATTCCTGTTAAAGGAGAGATTATATGGTATTTATGTTTTACTGCCTGGCTTATTTCACTCAGCATAATGCTTTCCAGTTCAATCCATGCTGTTGCAAAGGGTAGGGGCTCCTTTCTTTCTGCTGCATAGAATTCCATTGTGTAAATGTACTATAGTTTTTTGATCCATTCATTTACTGATGGGCACCTAGGTTGCTTCCAACTATTGGCTATTATAAATTGTGCTGCTATGAACATTGGTGTGCATAGGTTCTTTTGGATTGGTGTTTCAGTGTTCTTAGGATATACTCCTAACAGTGGAATTGCTGGGTCAAAAGACATATTCATTTTTAGTTTTCTTAGAAAATTCCATATTGTTTTCCATAATGGTTGTACCAGTCTGCAATCCCACCATCAGTGAACTGGGGTCCTCTTTTCCCCACAACCTCTCCAACATTTCTTGTTTGTTGCTTTGTTTATGATGGCCATTCTGACCTGTGGAAACTGGTATCTCATTGTGGTTTTAATTTGCATCTCTCTGATAGCTAGCAATATTGAGCATCTTTTCATTTGTCTGTGGACCCTCTATATGTCCTCCTTGGAAAAGTGTCTGTTCAAGTCCTTTGCCCATTTTTTAATTGGGTTGCTTGACTTCTTAGAGTGAAGTTGTATGAGTTCTTTGTATATTTTGGAGATTAAACCTTTGTCTGAGCCAACCTTTGGCAAATATGTTTTCCCAAACAGTTGGTTCTCTTTTTATCTTAATACTGTTTTCTTTAGCCATGCAGAAACTTTTTATTTTGATGAGATTCCATATGTTTATTCTTCCCTTTATGTCCCTTGCTCTAGGGGACATATCAGTAAAAATGTTGCTGTGTGAAATATCTGAGATTCTACTGCCAATGTTCTCCTCTAGGATTTTTTTTTTAAGATTTTATTTATTTATCTTTAGAGGGGAAGGGAAGGAGAGAGGGAGAGAAACCAATGATCCTTTTCATGCACCTCTCAATCCACTATACATCAGCCAGGGCTCCTCTAGGATTTTAATGGTGTCACGGCTTACATTTAAGTATTTTATCCACCTTGAATTTATTTTGGTGTATGGTGTAAGTTGATGCTCAAGTTTCAATTTTTTGTACATAGCTGTCCAGTTCTCCCAACACCATTTGTTGAAGAGGCTATCTTTACTCCATTTTATGTTACTGCCCCCTTTGTCAAATATTAGTTGTCCCTAGAGAGTTGGGTTGATTTCTGGGCTCTCTGTTCTGTTCCATTGGTCTATGTGCCTGTTTTTATGCCAGTACCAGGCTGTTTTGATTACAGTGGACTTGTAATACAGTTTGGTATTGAGTATTGTGATCCCTCCTACTTTGCTCTTCTTCCTCAAAAGTGCAGCTGCTATTCGGGCTCATTTATGGTTCCATATAAATTTTTGAAGTGTTTGTTCTATGTCTGTGAAATATGCCATTGGTACTTCAATAGGTATTGCATTGAATCTGTAAATTGCTTTGGGTAGTGTGGACATTTTGATGATGTTAATTCTTCCAATCCATGAACATGGTATATGTTTCCATTTCTTTATGTCTTCCTTGACTTCTTTCTTCAGTGTTGTGTAGTTTTCTGTATACAGGTCTTTTACCTCCTTGGTTAGGTTTATTCCCATATATTTTATTTTTCCTTTTATTATATCGAATGGGATTTTTTCTTGATTTCTGCTTCTGCTGTCTCATTGTTAGTATACAAAATTGCCTTTGATTTCTGCATATTGACTTTGTATCTCGCTATTTTGCCAGATTCATTTATCAGGTCGAGCAGTTTTCTGGTAGAGTCTGTAGGATTTTCCATGTACACTATCATGTCATCTGCAAACAGTGACAGTTTTGTTTCCTCCTTTCTGATTTGGATGCCTTTTATTTCCTTTTCTTGTCTGATCGCTGTGGGTAAAACTTCCAATACTATATTGAGTAGAAGTGGTGAGAGTGGACAACCTTGTCTTGTTCCTGATCTTAGTAGAAAAGATTTTAGTTTTTGCCCATTGAGTATAGTGTTGGCTGTAGGTCTCTCATATATGGCCTTTATTATATATTGAGGAATGCTCCCTCTATTCCCACTTTGCTGGGTGTTTTTATCATAAATGGGTGTTGTACCTTATCAAAAGCTTTTACGGTATCTATTGATATGATCATGTGATTTTTGTCTTTGCTTTTGTTTATGTGATGAATTACATTTACTGATTTGCGAATGTTGTACCATCCTTGCATCCCTGGGATGAATCCTGCTTGGTCATGGTGTATGATTTTTTTGATGTATTCTTGGATGAGATTCGCCAATATTTTGTTGAGGATTTTAGCATCTATGTTCATCAGTGATAGTAGCCTGAAGTTTTCTTTCTTTGTTGTGTCTCTATCTGGTTTTGGAATTAAGATGATGTTGGCTTCATAAAAAGAGTTTGGGAGTATTCCATCATTTTG